AAATGTTTTGACTAGTTTATGATATCGAAAACCCTAGTGTAATAATTTTTCAGTAATATATAAATTTTTCTCGCTAAAATCTAATACGTTGTTACATACGCGAGCGAATCGTACAAGTTGAGATATATAAACACCATAAGATGGTGACAAGGGAACGTCACCATCTAAAAATGGATAATTAACGATAGGAAATGAAAAATCATCTCTTTTATCATAAATTTTTGTATTAAGCTTCCCGTTAATGATATAGATATCAAGATCGAGGAAAGGACAGTGGTCATTGTTAGTATTAGCTTTATTTAAAGTAAGTTCAACAGGATAAATTTCTTTAGTATACATACTGAAGTTGTCATTATTGAGAGCCAATATATCATCCAAATATCTAAAAGTATTGTTAAATTTTTGTATCAGATGTTGTTTCGATGGGTCTTTGCTGATTTTAGTCATAAATTGTAACTCGTAACAATACAAAAACAGGTCCGCAATAAGTGGTGCACAGTTAGTCCCCATTGGAATTCCGATAACTTGACGATATACGGAATCTCCAAAGCGAACAAAAATTATATCAAGTAAAAATTCAAGGGCAGATATAGTATCAAAGCATGTCCAATTGACATAGCTCTTTTGTTTGTTGCTACTAAAAAATGACCTAAAAGAGTTTGAACATATGTATTCGCATTCCGACTTTTTAAATGCCCATTTAATTAGGTGTGTGAATTTTTTCTTAATAAGAATATGATGCAAAGTGGTATATAGGGTAGAAAAATCAAAACTTTGAACAGATTCAAAATCACCAATATATGCATGCAATTTATCAAGTACTTTCAACGAGTTTTTGACACTCCAAAAGTAGTTAATTCCACTATTTTCAAAGGCCTTATTTGAACAATTTATTATCAGGTTTTTGATTGTACCAAGTGTACTAGTAAGTAGAATAGACAATTTAGTAGTGGAACAATGACTTGAAGACGAAATAAATCTATATTTGTAAGGTGATTTGTGTAGCTTCGAAAGCCAGTACATAGTTGGGACTTTCATTGTATTTGGTTCTGCTTGTAAAGAAGTAGCTAATAGTTTATGTTTGTTACAGATATCGTTTTCTGAAAATGAAGTCAGTTGGAATGTTGGTGAATTCGTGATTTCCTTTTGCAGAACCTCAATGTAAAATTTACGTCAAACTATAATGATATTATTAGCAGCTTTATCAGCCGGGACAAAAACAAATTCCTTGGCTAGTTCTTTCAGTTTATGTTTGATACGAGAGATAGGATTTTTATGGTTGTTGTTAAGAGTAAAATGTTCTTTAAAATGTTGTATACGTATATCAACTATCTTCATTACTGAATTAAAAAAAGAGTCCAAAGATTTTTTGTCAGCTTTTTCCCGTTTTATCCATTTCAAACAGTAAGCACGAAGTGAGTCGTGGATGATATTACGACACTCATTCCAATTAATAATTGATGGGGGACGATATTTAGGTCCTTTACTGAGGAATTATTTCAACTCTCGGTCGCGAACGATGTTAAGGTCTCCTGTTATAACATGGGAAATGGGGCCATAAGTGTATTCGGAGTTACTACAATTACATGACGGAGGTGTATTTTCACTGATATTTACATCTTTACAGACTTGGCTATAATTAAACACAAATTTTTGCGTAGATTTCTTGTAAATATAACAAATAAGAGGGAGTTTAGTATTATCAAAATATCCAGGAATTTGTTCTTTAACAATGGTCGTTAAAAATACCGGCAATATTTACAAAATCAAAACATTTATTGACATACTTTATTTTAATAAAATGTTTTTTATGATCTTCAGGGCGATCAATTTTGGGAAACAGTTTAGAATAACAATATGCCATTATAATTTGAACGATTTCATACTTAGGACTGCAATATGAAATTGTGATGCAATCCTCTAAAATTTTATTTTATTTATTTATAGGTAAAGTACAGAGCTTGGTTAATAGATAATGTCTGCCGTTGTTTTTTGAAATAGAAATTAGGTCCGAAATATTTGTATGGTTGGTCCGAAATTTTCTTTGATTGCGATTTTTTCTACGCCCATGAGAACGGTTTTTACGAACAGTTTTAGAAACTATATCCAAAATGTTAACAGAATCGGTTCTTGATATATTACCAATTCCCATGATATTATCATTAAGACCGAGAGGGTAGACTGTCTGTAATTTTTTAATCCAATTTTATTCAATTATTTTCCGCGATCGTACAAACTTTGAATGAGATTCACCAGGCTGCTTATTTACTACTTTTAAAGGTTGAACTGTTAAATATTTAATAGGATGATTGTGCTTTTTAAGATGTTGATAAATGATACTTTTGAATTTATTGGGTCTTTTAAAACGATACAGGTGTTCTTGCGTGCGTTTAGATAAATATTGTCCAGTTTCACCTACGTACTGAATTACGCATCCCGGTTTGTTTCATGTGAGTAAATAAATAATACTGTTTGTTTTTCAAGTTATATCAGTTTCAAAATTTAAAGAAAATTTCACTGTTTAATTATATTTGGCCATTGCACAAGGTCATGCGTTTCTCAGACTGATGATGACGATTTACACTTAATCCGTTTGGTGTGTACTGGTTAATATTTTATTCTGGTAAAAGATGATCTGGCATTGAACTAGCTTTAAGTAACTGAGAGTACTGTTTTTTTCTGTGCTATGCGTCTTTTGTTTAAGTGCATCTTACCAATCTTTTAAGTTGAATTTTACAGTTTGTTTGTATGTTCTGCTGTAACACCACTGTCCCAGGATAAGGGAGGGTTGAGCGCTCACAAACATGTTATGCCCTTCCACATTCTTTATGTAAAAAAAATTAGAAGATGTGGTATGATTGCCCATGAGACAACTCTTCACAAGAGACCAAATGACACAGAAATTAACAACTATAGGTCACCGTACGGCCTATACCGCATAGTCAGCTATAAAGTTCCTTGAAGTCACAATCAACTCATCATAGATACAAGGATTGAAATTTTGTATGGCAGACGCGCGTTTTGCCAAATACACCTAAGGTAACAACTTCCTCCACTTTAAGCTCTTGATCCATTACTGAAGCAATATTTTATTGAATGATAATAATAAAAATATAAATTGTATGCATGAATAAAGAATACAAGTATCGAGTATTTTTTGGGGGGGTGGGTGAAATTTCAGTGTCTTTGGAAGTGGGGGTCTTGAAATTATTTTCTTTCTTCAAAGTGGGGACACGAAAAAAAAATCAAGAGAAATCCCACTGTTTCCTCATATCCCTCCAACGAAAGAAAATGACCGGTCCCTAAGGATAAATAGTTTTACACAAATTGAGAGCTCTACAAGTCTACGGTTACTACTAATATTTATGCCGATAACAATAAAAAGTGACAATATTTCTTTTTTTTCTATTAATATTCTTGTACTGGCCTAACAATTGAGAGTACTTTTTATACCTCATAATGCATTGTTAGACATAAAAGTGAAGAAAATTAAATCTGAATTTCAAAATCTGTTGTCGCTTCATTAAAACGTGCCAATATTTTTCATTATACAACAGCATTAAAATTCTGTTCTTTTGATCCTTAAGGATGAATAGTTTTACACAAATTGAGAGCTCTATAAGTTTACTACTATTTATGTCCATAACAATAAAAAGCGACAATATGTTTTATTTTTTTTTTTATTAATATTCTTGTACTGGCCTGATAAGTGAGTACTTTTTATACCTCAGGATGGATTGTTTGACATTATAGGGAAGGAATTTAAGTTTAAAATAACAAAATTTGTTGTCGGCATAAAAAAAGGTGCAAATATTTTCCATTTTGTTAGAATATTATACAAGGGCATTGAAATTTTGTTCTTTTGATCCTTACACATGAATTGTTTTACACAAATTGAGATCTCTTTAAGTCTACGGTTACTACTAATACTTATTTTGATAAAAAATAAAAAGTGACAATATCTTTTTTTTTTCGATTAACATTCTTGTACTTGCCTCATAATTGTGTACTTTTTATACCTCAGAATGGATAATTAGACATAAACGTGAGGAAATTAAAATTTAAAATTGGAAAATGTGTTCTAGCATAAAACAAAATTGCCAATATTTTTCCATTTGGTTAGAATATTAGACAACGGCATTAAAATCTCTTCTTTTGGTACCAAGGATGAATAGTTACACAAATTGATGGCTCAATACGTCTACAGTTACTAATAGGTATGTCCATAACAACAAAAAGTGACAATATTTCTCTTTTTTTTTATTTATATACTTGTACTGACCCTGATGCATCAGTCATCAATTCAAATACATTGCTAGGGAAAAGAAACATCAAGAAATTGAAAGCTTCCAAGAATCATGGCTTATCTCATTTGACCCAGTTGTCAAGTTAATAATTACATAATACATTAATAATTACATGAACATTCCATGATGTGTATCTATTTTTTTAATTGTGAGTTTTAAAATCCAAAATGAAATCTTGTATTTTGTATGTCATAAATTGCTTTGAATAGGACAACAATAAATTTACATTTGCGTGTTATTTCATCACATCACTTTAAAAGATTCTTTTTAAGAAACAGACATTACAGGCATCCTCGACCATTATAACAGACCTTGGACATATAACAGGGCCATCATGGAAACACCCATTAATTAATACTATAGTCATACACATCACTTATTCTAGTGTAGCAATGCTTGCAAACATGTAATATAAGGCATAACAACATAAATTCAGTTCCTTTTTCACAATGTCAGTTTAAAAATTTGTTCACAGATGATGAAACTTTTGATTTGCGACTAGTAAATGCGTTTAAATTTAGCCATATACTAAAAATGCACTGATTGACTTAAAGAAAATGACTAATCGAATACTGGTATTGTTTAATCCATCATGATTACCCTCTGTATTCTAGATCTTTTACTGATCTATGGAGTCCTCCGAAGAAAAAATGTTAAAATATCTAATATCGGAGTTCGTACCATAAATTACAATCAAGGACATCTTTCTCCTCGAATACAAAATTGAGACCGTCTGATAATCCGATTTGTAAGAGGTTCACAAAGAAATAATGCGGACGACAGTAAAGCTAATGATCCTATGGTATGAAAAGATGCTTTGAAGTCACCTGTGGAGTCTACTAAAAGACCTGGAAAAAAGAAAGAATTCCTAAAATAAATTTTATTTTGATTGGTAATTGTTTACTTTTAAAATATCTGAAAAGTGAATTGTTAACTCTCATTATATTCTAAGGTTTTACAAACACTTGAAACGAAGCGTATCAACTGTTTCTGATCAAGAGCTAGACTATATATTTGAATTTCCAAAAATAATTGTTGTCCATAGTAGAAAAAAGGAAAAGTTTCCTGTACCCATATTTTTGACATTTTTACATATTATGTCTGTTTGTTTTGTTCACACGTCGTTTTCAATATAAAGGAATTTTATGCGACTGTCATTCAAGTGAGAGGTTTAGCTAGCTATAAAACCAGGGTTAATCCACCATTATCTACATAAGAAAATGCCTGTACCAAGTCAGGAATATGACAGTTGTTATCCATTCGTTTGATGTGTTTGATCTTTTGATTTTGCCATTTGCTTAGGGGACTTTCCGTTTAGAATTCTCCTCGGAGTTCGGTATTTTTGTTATTTTACTTTTTAAATGTCTTTTTGGATAGCATGTGTTTTTGGATGCCTCACCCACGATAACCAAGTTGTTCAATTTCTCTATGTTCACTCATGTTCTATGTCATTCGGTGAACTGATATGCCAGTATAAAGTTAGCATTTTGCCATTATATGAAAAAAGTATAACAAAAATACTGAGCTCCAAGGTAAATTTAACCAGGGTAAGTCAATAAAAACTATAAATCTAACGTTAACGTTATCAACCAACGAAAACTGTCTATCTTTTTATTTCAGAACGAGTATTTTTTTTATATTCACTTATTCATGGAAGTATCCGTTTATCCAAATTTTGCAGTTGGAAAATAAAAAAGATTTTACGATAGCTACTTACCGAAAATTCGTGGTCCAAATATAATTGCAGGTAGTTGACCAACAATGAGTATCGATACGGCAGGAGGAGTTAAGTCAGGTCCAACTATTTCTACTGTATGACTAAACATTAATACAAGTTGGGCCCCAGCAAATAGACCAATTGCAGCACAAAATACCACTAGCCCAGCAAACGATGTCAGTAGTGCATTACAATTATATACCACACCACATACACACTGCGACATTGCTAAGATATGGTATGTTTTTATATGTGATATGTCAGCCATAATTCCAGAACATATTCTCCAAACAAAATCCAATGCTTGAGTGAAGAATACTAATATGGACATTTTGTTATAGTCAATGTTATGATGAATGGCATAGGCAGGAAGACAAGATAAAAACGTAGCAGTTACAGTTGTTGCTAAACAGTTTGCAATAAGGAAGAGAAGGAACGTTGGATTCAAGAAAGGAGAACACGGATGAGGACATTTCTGTACCTCAATTGGTGAAGCGCTAATTTGACCATCGGTGGAATTAAGTTTTGTCATCGGTAATGCTGTAGTTGCACTACTGTTTCCATATATTAATGAATCTGATATTGAAAATTCTCTCTTATTAAAATGTTCATCGTGTAAATGAGTGTCAACGTTTCTATAAAGACAATTTTCACTTGACGGTAACAGTTTAACTTTGCTCTCCTTTTCATGCAACAACGGATCTGATCCACTAGAAAAATTATACATGTTCACGTCACCATTCTTAATGCTATGATCTTTTACGGCGTTCTGATAACGTACTGGTCTTTCTGGTTCTGTTTGATTTCTTTTGTTGTCGCTCTCTTTCTCGGTTGCATTTTTAAAAATGTTTGATGACTTGTCGTTCGGCCTTAATAAACATGCCATTGGAATATTGTGCATTAGGATACCACCAGTTAGCAACAGAGCTTCCCGTAAACCATAATTTTCCAGTAAGTATCTGTAAAGGTAAGGACATGTAAGTCCCCCTAAACAACTGCCGGAGATAGCTTTTCCATTTGCAATAGCTCGCCGCTTTGGAAAATACGTCCCAAGTAAATAGATTGAGGGTTGAATAATCAAAGCCTTTCCTACGCCTGAATTAAAGATAATTTGTTTAGGCATAATATATCTAAAAATCATTCGTGTACAAGTCCATTTGATGGCATTTGCTACTAAAATTAATGAACTAATATCAGATGTTTTACTTTAGTATTTTCTTATTCTCATTTTGACAACCTGTGATAATTAAAACGTTACTAGTGCTTTGAACTGTTCAGAATTTTAGCATTTGTTTGAATGTTAAATAATATACACATATAAATAACTACAGAGAACAATGTACCTTATCATAAAGATGTCCACGTGTCAAATGGCAATGTGGGCGAGGATTTCGAATGTTATACAAGTATTACGAGAGTATAATTATACCATGTTCCTCTCGCGACACCCTTTGTGAGATCCAGCATTTAAATTAAGAAACATGCACACACGAGAAACATTAATAACGCATGTATCCTGTCATCTACGAGATACTGGTTTTGAAAACGTCAGCAAACAAAATGTTTAACTTAAATCTTCTTGATTGACAATACCATTCTGTTCTGAGACTGCAAGGACATTTGACAAATTTATCGAATTCGAGTTACTTTTTCAATGAATGAAAGGACACTTAAGGTATATGTTAGTGAGAAAGCAACCTAACGACAAAAACATACGACATCTACTACAGTAATCTTTTTACGAGGGAAACCTGGGTTAATTTCTACTGAAGAGAATTAATTATTACTTGTTTCTTTGAATATTTGCCATTTCGTATAATATCATAAAATATTTGTTTCCTTTATTCACTAACTTGGAATCATTTCTTTTTAAATTGTAAGGAAACTGGAAATTTGCATTGAACACTTCGTTTCGTTATTATCTGATTCAGTCAGTTCTGTATCCCGGAATGAAGAAGACATGTATACGCTATTTTTAATTTCTGGCACAGTTGAATAGAAATAAGAAGATGTGGTATGAGTGCCAATGAGACAACTCTCCATCCAAGTCAAAATTTATAAAAGTAAACTATTATAGGTCACAGTACGGTCTTCAACACGGAGCCTTGGCTCACACCGAACAGTAAGCTATAAAGGGCCCCAGAAAATTAATGATAGTTAATGATAATTACAGCGCAGATACATGTTCCATAATATATATATTGAACTCACGAAGCAGTACAAGTAGTACAAGATTATATATGGTTTCTAAAACCGCAGGTAAAATTCCAAATGAACGGGCACGTTCTAAAAATATACATAAGATATCTCTACAGGTGGTAGTTACGGTCAAATGTTGAGTTAAACAAAATTATACTCAACACAATATACCGGTAACAGACGGACACTTTTTGAGATAATTGTACATATACTTATGTTTACTCGCATCAATCGTATGTTTTATACTTTCACATTGCATACTATAAATCAAGTAAACAGTAATAATTAGTTACCATGAAACCAATGTATGGGATTGTAGACTATTTATTAATGACCAACTTTGAAATACGCCTATGTGATTTTTATTCAAAAGCAACAGTGAAAATAATAAATGAGGGAAGTTTCAAAAAGAACATTATATCAGGTATTGCAGATTGAATGCATTTTCTGGACGAGAACAAATTTACAATATATGCAATAGAAGGTCGAACGGCATGATGGTCGGGAAATTTGGACCACACAACGAGAAGTTGCTAGAGTTCTTTCGTGAAGCGAGTGTGGCATCAGATTCAACATTCTCATTCTAATCGGACATGGCTGCGAATTTATACATCACGTACAATACGCAGCTATGACTGGTTGGAATAAAGACGTTTTAAGGCAAGTGCCTCATATAGAGAACGTTCAACGCTCTCTACGTATAAAAACCTTGCAATTACTCTTTGAGGGTTCCGAAATGGCCTGTTACAAGTCAAAATGTCTATCCCTGTTCAGCATATCCTGATATCAAAGTAGTAAAATTTACCCACATTTCATCCCCGGGTAGACCCACTTTGCAGACCTACCTATTACCTTTATTGTTCATTGTCCTGCATATGCATGAAATAGTTGCACCTGTGCGCTGTAGCTAACAAAAAAGTATCAAAGTACAGTTTAAAATACTGATATGTTTGTCAATATAACAAAACTATAAACAACTGTCATACAAGTAGGAGGTTAACTAGCTATAAAACCAGGTTTAATCCACAATTTTCTTCGGAAAATGCCTGTACCAAGTCAGGAATATGACAGTTGTTTTTCACCCGTTCCGTTGATTTATAACGTCAGTTTTTATGGACTTCCCCTTTTAGAATTTGCCCTGGAGTTGGGTATTTTTGTTTTATTTATTTACTATAAGAAAAGTTCTACCATTTCGTGAGTTTAAGGATGTTTGCTACCCTGTTTCAAAATAACAAGCTTTTCAAAAGACTGTTAAAAGTTGATAGTATATAAATGAAAGAACTAAAAAAGCAGAAAAAAATGAAGGGTCTGTGTGCTTGTTTTCGAGATATAAGCCTTCGAAAATGTGGCGGGAAATGATTCTCTCTAGATTTTTCATACATTTAACATTGACACTATTTTCTTTCAAAAACAATGAAAAAATAACAAGGATTTTCAAAGTATTGATATCAATAAATAACAAGGATTTTCAAATATGGCCTTTTAAACTATATGTAATAAAATTATGAAAAGAAAAACGGGGGTTAGCAGGCAAAATGTTTTAATGGCACTACATGGATAAAACCAGAGGATTCTGAATATCTGGCAAAAGTTCAAAAACAAGAAAAGCGAACATCCTTAATACAGTTGCCGTTAACATGATGTTTTTAGATTAAGCTTGATCGAGATTTGAAAAGTTTTTTTTATAGTTCCTAGTAATCGGAGAATTTTTTAATCGCAAAAAACTTAATATGGCTTTTTAATGATTTAAAACAATGGACAAAGGCCTGTTGGAAAATTAACTTCGTGCTATTGACAATGTATAAACGATATCGTGTTTACATCGTTCACATTTATGACTAAAAATAGGAGTTATCGCCAATTAAATGCGACTTCCTTCGTTAATTTTTCAATAATTGCTTTTAAAACAATTATATCAAAGTTTTAAATTTTAAACGCAAAGCTAAAGACTCAGTATACATTTTTAACACGATTTCGACACGATATTGTAAACCTTGCGATGTTGACCAGGTAAAAGATGCAAACACACAGATGTAGTCTCGGTATACAATATAAATAAAATGTTGAAGCGATATTGGTCAATAATGAATGTTTACAATGTAAACACAATGGTAAAGACTTGATATACAAAATTAACACGTTGTCGACACGATATTTCTAATTGCGATATTGGCAATTTAAACGATGTAAAAACACAAATAAAGACGCCGTTTACATTATAAACACGATTTTGACACTATACTGTCAATATCACGATAGTGACGATGTGAACGATGCAAACACAAAGTCTCGGTATACAACATAAACACGATGTTGACACGAAATTGTCAACATCACGATGTTGACGATGTAAATGATGTAAACACAAAGGTATTGACTCAGGTATATAAAATAAACGATGTTGACACTTTATTTTCAACATCGCGATATCTACGATGTGAACGATGTAAACACAAAGGTATATAGATTTGGTATACAATATAAACACGATATTGACTCGCTATTGTCAACATCGCAATGTCTACGGTGTGAACGATGAAAACACAAAGGTATAGACTTGTTATACAATATAAACACGATGTTGACTCGCTATTGCCAACATCGCAATGTCTACTATGTAAACAATGTAAACACAAGGTATACATGTATATACGATACAATGTAAACACAATAATGACACGATACAGTAGACATCGCGATGTTGACAATATCGATAAAACATCGTGCACTGGACATAAAGCAAGAAATATAATTTCAAGGTACGATGGCAATTTCCGACCGTTAAAATTTACTCGCGGAGGAAGATTTATTTTTACTTAGAAAGTCAGTAGTCCTTCAATGTTTTATCGTTATATCATAATATTTTACAGATGGAGCTTATCATGAACATTTTTATTTTAGGGGGTGCGTCAATAAACCCATCATAGATTAGTTTACTATCGGATATGAAAAGGGAATTGGTAACCTTCTAGTATATATTTTTTTAATTTGTGTAATTTCAATGTGTCAACTAAAGGTACATATCTTTCAAAAGATAAACCATAATTTAAGAAGAAAGCATTAGTTTGGTTTAGTGGTTCAATCAGCCGACAGCATTGCACAATATCAAAAGCAGGTAGATTTCACAATATAATATTCAAATAATCTAAATTTTGAATTAAAAAAACAGATTATTTTAAAAATGCAACCAGTATCCCTTGAGCGTAAATAAATAGGTTTTAAACAGTTGTCTACAATTTTCATGTATACATATGCGCATTCCTTATAATCATGTTCCAAGTCAGGGCTTATGGTCAAGTTTTTGCGGTCTGTCATAATTGTTTCAGTTTATTTGTATATGCTAATACCAGCTAAATCAGGCCGGTTGTTTTCTCTTTTGATAAACATTTAATCATCCAGGGCCTTTTATAACTTACGATATGGAATGAGTTTTGTTCATATTGAAGGCCGTACGGGGAATTGTCAATTGGTGGATAGTATGTTTTGCCATAATACCATGTTTCCTTATGATTATTTGAAAAAATATATTTCCCTTACAGGTGAAAGAGGTAGGTACTTTTCAATCATGTTCTGTTTTTATGTATGCTACATATATAATAGTTGTAAACTTACCAACGAGGAAGCTGAGAGTAAAGAACAAGAAGTATATGTTTCCAGGCAGACGACCAAGACTATAACCACACGCTGTTATGAAACTACCAAGTATTACAATTGTTCTTGGTTTCAATACTTTAATCAAATACATCATAATTGGAAGAGCTTAAAATATATAAAAAAAAGATCCAATAATTCGTTTAAATTTAAGATAAAATTGTCCAGAAATAACAAGTGGAAATGAGAGCTATATAATTGATCAATTATCGCGGCAGTCATTCGGTATATCGGGAAAGAAGATCGTTAAAGAATAAGTAACGGTGGCCAAGTATTGCGATCCAATCGTGAAAGATCTCGTATAGGAGCGTGAAGGAAATCTTATCGAGAAGAAACATGCAACGTCAGTAATAATCTAATTTAATCAATTTTAATGACAAATATTGGAAAATAAAACTGCAGAGTCCGTCAAAATGGGTCAACATTAGGATCAGTTTCCAAGAAAAATCAAGACTTAAAAGTACGCCGGTTTAAACAACTACAAAAAGTCAAGATTGCTCATCGAAATTTCAGAGAAATAGTAATGTAAAAAAACATGATGTTTTTCAAATTTTTAATGTATAAATGACTTTTTAAATATCGTTCAATATTACTGCTTAAAATAGTTTTTAAAGTTATTTTGATGATCGTGAAAAGGATAGTGTAAGATCTGTTGGCGCTTATTCGTTAATGTAAAAAAATCAACGAAAACGATAAAATTTTTCTTCAAACAAACGATAATTTATATTTGTAATTGGTATAACAAAAGATTAGATTTGCATGACTTATTTCATTTCCCTTTTGTTTGTGAATATGGCTATGATAGATATGATTATTTGATAATACCATACCGACTAGATTTCTCATAACAATACAAGTTCGTCTGTCCCTCCTGCATAAGTTTTATGTCGTTTGAAAAGTTGTCTCGTTTTATTTCTATTTATTTTTATGCACAGTGATTTCTATAAAATCCTTGTGGATTTTTACAAAAATTGGGAAAAAAAATATTGTTTAAAAGAACAGCAGAAAAACAACTTTCATACTCCTGACTTGGCACAGACATTTTCCTAAGAAAATGGTGGGTTGAATTGGGTTTTCTAGCTAGCTTAATACGCCCACTTGTATGACAGTTGTTTAATGTTACGTAAAATTGCCGAATTGGATGAGCAACCCAAACAGACAACGTGGCCGAGTTTGAAAGTCGTGCGCACTAGATTAAAAGTTGTGCGAACGAGTTTAAAAGTCGTACACCATATTAAATCTCCGCCAAACGAAAATATTTATATTAACATGGCACTTAAGGGGCTACGTATGGGTCTCCTTACATAATGACATGTGACCATAATAGATACAAAACGTGAGTATGTCTTAAAGATTTTCATAGGATTGTGTGTCGCCTTTTATCTTTTCTCAAAAAGTACTACATTTTTCTTTAACTTAGTGCACAATATTATTAAAGAAGTTGAATAATTTTGACAGACATATTTTTTTCTTCTGATTTGTTCTACCTTTTGAAAATACAGCAGATTTTTCACAGATTTTGAAGTAGAATTACACTTAATTGCATTCACGGTCCGATACTAGATCTAACACGATCCGATTGATATGCTTGGCCACCATTAGTTATTCTATCACGATTTTTTTTCTCGATATACCGAATGACACCCGTGATTATGATACAATGCTAAAAGTATTCGGTATTCTATAAGAAATTTATTTGCAGTTTTGAAAGAGTTTATTTTATAAGTATATTCTACTAGTACTTTAAGATCGGTACGTTGTGTCTTTCAATTTAGTGGTTGTCACGTGTTGCTGCATATTATTTTTTTTGTTTTGTTTACATGAATCGGGAAGTTGGTCTCTCGTTTGAATTGTTTTACAATTTGTCATGTCGGGGCCTTTTAAAACTTGTTATGGGTTTAGTGCATTGTTGAAGGCCGTATGGCGACCTATGAAGCTACCATCTACGTCATTTGGTATCTGATGTATAGTTTTCTTATTGGCAATCGTACCACATCTCCTTATAATATATTCTATATAAATGATATGAAACACTGGTATGGGGACATTGGAAACATTTTTTTTTATATTCGAAATGAAACTTAACCATATTTATTTCATCTGCTTTATTATTGTTTTTTAATATATATTATTTCAGATCAACCTTTAGTAATTGCGTAGATTTATTTAACGTAATTTACGAAAATGCATCTTCAAAATTCAAAATTATTCGAACCTACCAAAATCAGCTGATATTCGAATGTTTCTTTTTTTATATAAAAGATAATTACACTTTATAGTCCCATACTGTAATTTTGATTGGAAAAGTACATGTATATGACACACAAAAATCTTAATCTACAAGATGCAATAGACTTTACCAAGAAAACACGTCAAGTTACACATTTTTTTTCTTTGTATGACAAACAGCTCAATTTCTTTTAAGTGATTTCCACTGATTATCTGCTTGGATTAATATGAAATATGTCAATGAATGTAAACTGTAATTCTCGATTTAATTTTGAACTGGCGTTCAAAAACTTACATAACAAACAGTAGACTCCATCCATCAGTCCGAGTCCGAAGATAAGGGCAACAGTGGATATACTTTCATCGTATGCTTCCAATATGGGTACGAAAAACACACCAGAAGAACTGACAACACTTGCTGTCAGAAACTGTAGGATAAAACAAGCTACAATGCATAACTAACACAGTTACTGCATGTAAACAAAACTTTGAAAATGCTTTTTTATGAGCCCCCGTCCCCAAATAGGACATGCATGTGCACCGTGAACACATGAATTAAATTAATTTATCAAGCTAAGAAAAAAAAATAGTTTGTACAAGTCTGGCATTCTTTACTTGAAAACTCACACTAGGCATTTAATTACAAACTGTTTAAACAATTTTTGAAAAAGATTATTTTGAAATTCTTTCGAACAAACTCTTTATTGATTTGTTTAGATTTAGAACCACAAATCACAAGCTCCCTTTTTAAACAGGGTAGTTGGAATCGGAATAAAATAGTTAGAAATAATAGACTATGTATCCTATGTGACAAAAATGAAATTGTCGATACATTTCATTACATATATATTAGAATGTAAATACTCTGAAAAAACCCAGGAACCTTTGTATGTCATGTTATGACTTTAAAAATAGGTCAAATTCTCAAATGACCGGGACAATAATTGTGACTCAATTTTGCTAGATAATGACTAAGTTCTAATGAACTGGCTTGAAAACTGTGGGAGGTGTTAAATACACCAAACGTTTACCCTCTTTCATAAATTTCAATATATGTGCAATCTTCCTGTGAAGTTTGAGGGATCTGGGTTAAAAATTGGGTACCCACTTTACTCCGCCTAATATCATCATACTAAAAGGCGGTTTTGGACTTCGTCAAACCCGGTCAAAAAATGCAAATATCATTAAGTACTGTCAGATTGAGTATTGTTTAAAATTTGTAAATTTATAAAGAATATGTGCTCCTGACTAAAATTGCACTTCATATATTTCTGTTGTTTTCTTGTAAATATTGTACATTCATGTCTTTTCTTCATCTATGCATATGGTTTATTCAGAATATATATATAGATTGTTGGATATTTTTAATATTCGCATTCTCGTTTGATAAAGCAAGTTACTCACTGATATTAAAGAAATTGTCATAGACTCCAGTTATTGTAAAAGTTTTAAATTTTAATGACATATGTTTGTCACTGTCTGACGGTTAGATAACTTTTGTCATTAGAAATAAAGAACAAGTATCTATTTGCCTTGAATTACCCATTTTCAACTAACCTAACAAAACCACCAAAGCATACCATCCAGCTGTATTGTCGTTGTTCCTCATATCGTCAAAACCTATCCAAATAAAAATGGAAACATACCAATAGATAATCAAGACCAACAAATACTGTATCACATCTTTTAAGTTATCAATCCAAATTTATTTCTATGGTTTTAATGATACTTATGCATGCATGTGCACACGATAAAAATTTCTTTTCTAACAAAAACATCTTTATAGTTTAACATTACTACCACCGTCATATTTTATTTCGTAGGTTCGTTCGATTGTCGAATTAAAAGCAAAAAAAAATACTAACTGTTGACACGAAGATATACAACGCGTGTATATAATTTCGATAGTATAATGAAAATGTCAACAAGGTTAAATGACGACCTGTACACCTGGCAAAATGCAAGCATTGAGATCCCGAATACAACAAAATTTATTTTCTTTGAAAAAAAATTCTTTTTGAACATTATTTGCAAGAAACACAGATAGGTATGATGATATTAAACTGACGTATTGTTTAATCCCGCCACATTCTGTATGTATGTGCCTGTCCCAAGACAGGAGGCTGTAATTCAGTGGTTGTCGTTTGTTGATGTGTTACATATTTGTTTTTCGTTCATTTTTTTGTACATAAATTAGGCCGTTAGTTTTCTCGTTTGAATTGTTTTACATTTGTCATTTCGGGGCCTTTTATAGCTGACTATTTTATATGTGCTTTACTCATTGTTGTAGGCCGTACGGTGACCTATAGTTGTTAATTTCATTTGGTCTCCTGTGAAGAGTTTTTCTCATTGGCAATCATACCACATCTTCTTTTTTATAGTTATCACACGGTTAAACATGTAAACTATGCAAAGTTAACGTTTCTAGGTCAATTGACCAAAACAAAGGGGCGGGGTCAAATACCCAGTAATCTCCGTGAAATTATAAGTATAAATATCTGCTTATTAAATATTGTTGACTTCGCCTTAAAATGACCAAACACAAACTTTAAATTGTTAACTTTGCAAAATTTTCAAAGTCAATGAATCACGGCTGAGGGGTTGGGGCAAAACAATTGTCAAAGAAACGAGATCTCATTTGTGCTGCAAGCATGGTAGTAGTTATGTTACAAGCTGCAAGCATTTGAGCTATTTTGTTGCAAATATGGCAGTATTGTGACCTAATAAACCTAAATATGTACAAACTCGATTGAAATCGATGTAAGCAATTATAGGCAACCGTCCGGCCTTCAATGATGAGAAAACACATACCGTTTTGTCGGCTTTAAAAGTCCCCGACATGAAAAAATTTGAATCTATTAAAACGAGAAAACTTACGGGCACATTTGTAATAGAACAATTGGCCCGAGAACACATTTATTTCGTAGTGCATTTCTATTAGACAATAAATAAAAATTAAAAAAATCCCCACTGCGCTTTCTCAATAATATTTATACAGTGTGGTGTACTACTTTTGGGACAAATTATATCAAAATTATAAAAACTTCATCAGCTCTAACTCAAAATATGGAAAATTTAATGTTAAGGGGATCTTGGATTCTTTTGACAGCTTCCGAAATACTAATTTTTAACCTTTTTAAGCTGGACTAAATCACTACTGTACTTTAAAATTCATGACCCAAATTTTTTTACAGTGTAATGTCATCCCCCTACTTGCTATTTGATGCATAAAACTTGAAGAAATAAATTTGGAAAGGGTATAAAAAGAAATGGCAAGTAACACACTGTCCACACTAGGGACTATATTTGCGAAAAACAAATACTAGTATGACAGACATGTACCAACGACAACCACTGAACTACAGACTCCTGATATTTGGGACAGGCACATACATAATGTGGCGAAGTTATACATGTTTGTGAGGGTTCAACCCTCCCTTACCAGGGACAGTGGTGTAACAGCATAACATAAGCACAAACTGTAAAAATCAGTAGCAATTGGGTCAACTCAAAAGATCGGTACGAGGCACATACACAACTTACATATAAACAATAGAAACAAAGCACCGAAATAAGAGTACTCGCAGTTACTGAAAGCTAGTTCAAAGCCAATTACAACTTATAAATAAATCCAAGAATAAAGTACCAATGGACACATCCAACGGTTTCGGTGAAAAGAAGTCATTAACAGTCTGAGAAACGGATGACCTTGTGCAATGCCAAAATATAAGTAAACAGTATCAACAGGATGTAGGATAATGAGTTAGCAAAATATATTTAGTTTTGTTTTAATTTTTCAAAAAACAAAATCAATGTTAGTACCAATATAAACTATTTGAAGATTTTATTAATTTAGTAAATTGATAACCTTAAAGAATAAGTTTTTTCAAAGGCTCAATTAGTTATATGGATCGTATCTAAATTTACGGGCTTTATAAAAAACATTACCGTAAAAATTAGACTGTGATATCTACAAGTACATCCAAACTCCCTAACTAAATCTTTGTATATATGAAAGAATTTGGTAAACTGTTAAATAATATTAAGTTAAACTGTATTAATAACTATACCCGACACTTCTTCTTGCTGAAATATTACAACATAAACGAAATTCAATTGAGCAGTTAGTAAATTCAATAAAGCAGTTAGTAAATTCAATTAAGCAGTTAGAAAATTCAATGAAGCATAATCTGGATTAATATATACAGAAATATTGGCGCGAAATCAAAGTCATTACTATTGAATTTAGCAAAAACTAAATTATATTCAGTATTAACTAAAGTCAATTCGTTATATCCTAAATTCAATTTAGATCGATATCCTAATATCAATTAGGCATCCGCATATTTGAAATAAGCATATACTTAAAGTCTAATTTAGTATATGCTAAATTGATTTTGGTAAATGCTTAATTGATAATTATATATTATATTTAAATAATTTTGTTCACCAATTTTAAGCTTGATTTTTAAAGAGGTTGATAGGACAGTTACTGCAAACTTTACTATGACCAGAACTTTCTAATCAGCGCAGGCTATCAACATTTACACAGTGTAACAGAGGACGCAAGAAAAAATTGAGGGTTGCTACGACAATTCCAGTGTTATGAGCTTTAACAGCTGGTCCATTCTTTGTTGGCGGATTTAAGGAGACAATATAAACAGTGAATAGATTTTTTTTTTGTTAAAGCAAGAACAGTTCCCTTTTTAAAGCCTCTGATTTCTTTTTTGGCTTTCAGATTTTATATGATAAGTTCTTACAAACAAATGTTCCTCGGCAATTTGTTAAACAACAAAATATGTATTTTAGCAAAAGTCAAACGTCGCAATGAAACTTAAGACTACAATTCATATCCAAAGATAAAAATATTAAGGACTTTGTTATCTTCCTTCAAGTAGCTAGAACTTACAAATTATGTGACAAAGCAGTTTTACTCACTGGATAAAACTCCGGAAAGAGTAGGGTCATTAAGAATTTCCGTTGAATAATAATAATGGAATTTTAATAATTCGGAATCTGCATAATTATTTTACTTAAAACGATTTTTCGACCCTTTTACATACTTCCGTTTACTCAAAATGTTATTCAGCTCTAAAATGTTGTTGATGAAGGCAGTTTTAGATTAAGTGTTACTAATATTACATGTTTTGTCAAAAATTGCACCAAATGAAAACTTAACCGAAATGAATTCAATTAATTTGTATATAAAAGACAATTATACATATCTCTACTTTAAGTAGAGTTTTTTTGGTTTCAGTTAAGAATTATCTGTTCAATCATAATTAATGAAAATTTGGCAACATCATTTAAATTGCAATTTTGAGAATGTTTGATTTGCTTACATTTAGCAACCCGACATAAAATCTTGATCCAAAGCTGTGATACAGAACATTGATTTTTTTTTTAAATGACCCCGACGTGAACTTAACTCAAAGTGAAATGCCATACCTCTCCGGATTTTTTTTATAAACGTCCGCCGTTTGGCCGTTCGGGATGTATAAATACGTAGCCACGTTCGGTTGGAATTGGGTCATTTAATTTAATACCTCGTCTAGGGAGTGCCACGTTTTCTGAACATTAAAGAACCTATCCATATTAGGCTGCTGCAAGACAATACAATATATCCTTCTAATAAGAAGCAGTCTAAATTCAAGCCAATCCTACCTATCAGATTGATTGTTAATGTGTTTTCGTCCTATATATGTATAATTATACTTGTAACGCCTTAATATTTGCAAATGCCTTTAAAGACCCCGCTATTCAGTTGACGTGTTGTAGTGGTTTCCCATATTTTTTCTTCGGTAAATCCGATATCCAATATTTTTCAGTACCTATTTTCCATAATGCTTGTAGATAATAAACTGATTAAAAAACTTGATTTCACCAGAAACATTTTCCAAACTTCAACTTAAAAAAATGTGAGTTGAATGTATTATGACATAAATCTTCTTTGGGAAATATTACGGCCAGAAATGTCTGTATTCTATTTAGATGAAGCCTTTTCCCTCACGTATACATCGTTGACAAAAATTAGTTTGGATTTCATGTCTAATCTGGATTGTTTTCAATGTTTCCACTTTTAACTTCACCCTTGTTCGGTCTTGTTTTGGATGGTTTTATCGACCATATAAAGTAAAGACTCTAGAGGCAAATATTTCAAGGGGTTTACTGTCGATTGGAAAAGACCAAGAGTGACCATATTTCTGTTCCCCTGTCACCCTTTGGTCAAAATAGAGACTGTGTTCTATGCGCTGTTGTACTGACTGTGTGGAGAATATAATCAAGTAACTGCATCTCTAGGTCCAGTATTTAGAAACTTGTATCAATATTTTACATAACGGATTCCGTGTTACAGTTGAACATTCCTTTAAGTATACTCTTGACATGCAAGAGAATGAAATATCTGCGTTTAAACATTTTATGCATAATTATTTACCTTTATAAATAGTGAACCATTATTGAAACTATGTCCAAACAATCTTAAATTTCGTGTATTCCTTGGACAAACATTCCAACAGAATTTAAGCAATAAAGAGGCATTGGCAAATAAGAGATATTTTACCGATAGAAGGCTGCAGACCAGTATATATTCATTTCTATGTATAAATATTCATATCCATTCAGTCATTAAACGTAAACAACTTGACTTCCTATTGTTCACAATTGAAAGGATTACCTTAACCAGTGACGGCAATCTTTCTTCCTGTCCTACACCCCAGTTCTATTGTAATGCTTCATAATTTCTATTTCTGAAACAAGTGTAAATTAAATAGATCTATTGTTACGAATAATAATAGATTTTTACCACAGGGTGTGACGAGCGGGGTTTCTGGAAAACCCTGCTTCTACATCCCGAAAGCACAGTCCATTGTTATTCATAACAATAGAATTTTTTTCAGTAGCATGAACAGAAGTAATTACTAATAGTGTGCACTACAAATCATCTCAAGACATATTAAAAATCATATTTCAGGAAATCCCAATAGTGAAAAAATATTTAGCATCTATTTTGAATTATTAAAAAATAAATCGATTTAAATACTCCTTTGCTTGAAGCTAAATTTTTTATCTCATATGGCAATGTCCTAAAGAAAATAAATGTAAAGAATTTTGCATGATAAATAGACAACATATAGTATTCATTTGGACTTGATCATCACTTGCTAAAATAAGTATTAAATAAAGGCAACAGTAGTATACCGCTGTTCGAAATTCATAAATCGATTAAGAAAAAACAAATCCGGGTTACAAACTAAAACTGAGGGAAACACATTAAATATAAGAGGAGAACAAAGACACAACAGAAACACTAAAATGCAACACACACAGAAACGAACAATAAGATAACAATAACCATTTTCCTGACTTGGTACAGGACATTTTAAGAAAAAATGGTGGGTTGAACCTGGTTTTGTGGCTAGCCAAACCTCCCGCTTTAATGGCAATGTAAAATGTAACACTAAAATGACAACATTACATGACAGGACTACAATACAAATAAATGGAAGAACATACAGGACAGAGAAACACACAAATAAACAATACAATAGAACATTACGACAAGCTAATAGTTATCAAAGGTGCCAGGCCTAAAGATGAAGAGCATTGATGACCCAAAATTCCAAAAAGTTGTGCCAAATACGGCTAGGTTATCTGCCTGGGATAAGAAAATATTTAGTATTAGAATAATTCATACTTTTGCAAACAGCAAATTCATAAAATATAAAAATAACCATACAATTGATATACATGTCAACACCGAATATTTGAATTGTTGAAGACAAACGATGGAACTGAATCGGAGTTTATAGTAATTATAGCGGCTGGTTTCTCCTGAGTTAATATTTCACCATCAGTAAGATAAAATAATTTTTTCTGTAGATTGCGTCGTTCTTCATCTGTGTTCAACATTGCACCAATACGCCATGAATTTACATGTTTTTTTGCCCAATTTGCTTTTTTCATTGTATTGACCGGTATGTACGGTTTTGGTCGAGCATCAATTCGTCGTTTTCTACCGGCCTGAATCTATTACCTACCTCGTCATTTTGTGAAAAAAAAACAAAGGTTAATTTTAGGCACGGACCCAGGACAAATGTTATGAGGTGAAAAGTTTTTATATGAAAAAGAACGGATATCCGGTGATGGCACGAAGACATCACCAAAATCACCAAATCGAACACACAAAACAAAATCGAGAGATCACCTCATGAAATATATAAGAATAAGAAGATAGTATAATTGCAAATGAGACAACTCTCCACCAGAGATCAAATGACATAGAAGTTAACAACTATAGGTAACCGTAAGGCCTTCAACAATGAGGAAAACCCATGCCGTATAGTTAGCTATAAAAGGGCCCGAAATGTATGTTTGAGAAAAATACGTCTTTTTCATTCATAACCTTATTTCAGGTTAGTAAATGTATGTGTTTCATCTGTTCCAGGATGTAGGATGTAGGAGGATGGCTAGTGAGTGCCCTCCCTTTTCCCCGCACCTTTCAAAGTGCTGAATCCGCCATTGAAATGTAATAGATAATTTGTTTGAGTTATTCATGTTAATACTTTGTAATGTGTGAATAACACACCTACTCAACTAATTCCAACATATTACACCAGGGAACGACCATATAGCACTGAGCGCGTTTGTGTAAAAAGGGGTAAACGTTAGATTCACAAAATATTTTAATCAGGGTGAAGGAAAATATACATTTTCTGTACACTCTGCTTGTAATTTGCAAAAAGCAGTAATTAAATCATCTGTTTGCGTATTTCATTAGTTTTTTGGATACAAAACATTATTTATTGATCCCGGCTTAGTCAATTTAATTTGAATTAGATCCACTTGCCCCCCCCCCTTTTTTTTGCATCGTGACAAAAGAGGGGGAGCAAGTGAGATATCTAATTTTAAAAAGATTGCCGTTTAAATGATTTATTTGTTTGAACAGTTCAGTGCATACAATGTTAATCCCTATAACATTTTGAAATCTGATATTATGCTTGATGTCTGGTATTATTCCTGCTTGCAACAGAGTTGATTTCAGGAATAGAAGACTTAAAGGTAATTAATGTGTCTCAACATTGACGATAGAATTTTCTTAAACTTCTTTAAACATTTCAAAATGAAAAATGGAGTCACAGACCTCGTTTTTTCGCTTTTACAAAATCACAATAATTTTATATTTTAATTGGTTATATATGGGAAAACTTGATTTTTCTTTATAAATATTTCCAAAATATCAAATAACTAGATATGTCGGAACTAAAATCCAGCATTCCGAAGACCAGAAGTAAATCAAAACCCCTGTCCCAGCGTGAGATTTTAATTTTGGCGTCAATATTTTCATCTATATTTTGATATATGTAATACGGTTGTGTAAAATAATTGTGTTTGATTATCTTGAATAGTGAAAAAGTTACCTGTGAGCATGGAATAGTTTAATTTTTTCCCAGTTCAGTGAAACTGCAAAACCACTATGATAACAACAGTGCTAGTGTTTTTTGTTAAATAGTGCATGTGTTCATGATCAATGCAACATAAATTAAATTCAATATTCTGTTATGTTTAGAAATGTGTGAAATAATTTAATGAAAATTTACTGAAGGTCGTTTGATAGGACGCATATTTATGAGGGCGTGATAAATTGTCACAAATGTCCAATCAGCTTTTCTGTTGAACGAAGTTTAGCGTGGGGTGAAGCTTGAACAGTGTAAATTACATTGTCGTAGTTTTATGACATTGTCTTAGAACATCAAAAGACTATTTACTATACTATAGTGACTGTGTCATCCTGATTCAAAACTAAATTTATTTAGAAAAAGAGCTTTGCAACCGCTGAGAAAAAGTTGAGTGTAAAATTACCTCCTTTTAGTTTTTTTTATAAATTACTGGTATGACGTTGAGGAGTTATGGAACTTTATTCTTTGAAAAAGCGACGGGCGTATCATGCGCTCATGGCGTAGCTCTTTATTCTCATTGTTAAAGGTCGTACGGTTGTCTATAATTGCTTTAATCCACTTTATTTGAATTTTGGTGGGTTGTTGTATAATTGGCAATGATACAACATCTCCTTATTTCTATATTAGTAAAATTAGAAACACTCAAATTGAAACGTGAACCTTGACATTCTTGGAATGCATAATTAGTTGACAATTAAAATATGACTAAAATTTTATTTCTTAAACTTGCTTAATTAGAAGTTGGAAATTATTTTTATTTCTTTATATCATATATTTACAGATAATAATAGGAATGAAGAACAACAGGAAACATTTCAGTTTTGAGGATTTAAGGACTTGAGGACTATTTGACATTAGATGATGTTTTACATGGACTTTTTAACATTAATGCTTCTTAAATTTTAGATTATGTGTGTGTTTTTTTTTTAATTACATCCAAAGTCTTAAGTTGTTTGATTGAATCTTATTAACTTTTGATTATTTAAAATATTTTTACATATGTTTCATTCTTACATTATGTTTATTCTTAACATTTATATATTCAAATATAAACACAGCAACATTTATCATTTTCAGCGACATGTCTCTGTTTTCAGCCTATTTAGTGAAGCAAGATTGAAAGCTATAAACTTTAAGGGTATAAATTGTTGAATTTATTATTTTCTTTTTGACTATCAATTGAAACAAACTTCGACAAAAGAGAATGTGCAAGTCAAGGTAAAATTTGTAACATAAATATTTTAAATGTCTCTGTTAAGAATTTTTCGTCTGGCAAGAAAGACTATTGTATCAATAATTGTGAATGCTGGTCATTATGTGTTGTTTTGGGAAAGACGGTATTGCGCCCTATGTACCACATCTTTATTTTTATATAGAATATTGGAAAGGACTGTTAATACTTTTCATATATTAAATAATAAAAATGGTTAAGGTTTGATAAAGTAGCTGGTATATTTTTTGTTTCCATTTTTGTCAATTTGTTTCCCTCTTCTTATTTTTTAGTTGAATAGAATTTAAATCTGATGTATGCTTTAGTGTTCTATTTTGGATAAACCGAGCATTAACAAATAATTTCAATCACCAAAATCCAAAACAGCCATCACTTCCACTGTATAAAGGGTAAAATAATCAGTCTAAAACATTTGTATCCAATGTTGTCCAGTCGGATTAAATCACACCTTACAATGATAATAAAATAATAAAATAAAGATTAAGCAACTTTAACCCCACAAAAAATACAGGTGATCCAAGGTGCTCTGGATGAGTAGTCAGATCCTGCTGCACATGTGGTATCAGAATGTACCTTTTAATAAATTGGATACTCACCCAGTCACATTATCGCATTAATAAAAACCTCGCTTTCCTATCTGAATTTACAGTACCTAAAATTTCCATCATGATAGACCTGGACAAAGATTAGTGTGAAACAAAAGATGTGGATCTAACAGGATCACTGAAATCAGAGCGAGACATTGATATGCTATCTTCAACGTTGGCCGTAGAAGCAATTTGGCTTTTCTAATGCCCCTATTAGTCAAATAACTCTAACATGTATTGAGACTTGTATGTACTTGGCATTGAGCATTCCTGTTGAAGGTATTTTCACTAAATAATGAATGCTGTATTTGAAAAATACCACTGTTAATGTTAATTACTTTAGCATCATCATACTAATGTCTTGGTTGAACAATTTTGTTAACTCTAGTTTTCCTTGGGAATAAATCCATATTGACAATTTGTGGAGGAATAATTATAGGTTACTGTTCAGTCTTCAACAATTAGCAAAT